TGACAACATTCATGACTTGATTATATAGGGAAATGTTGATACAGACATGTTTATGTACCTTGACAACATTCATGACTTGATTATATAGGGAAATGTTGATACAGACATGCTTATGTACCTTGACAAAATTCATGATTTGATTATATAGGGAAATGTTGATACAGACGTGTTTATGTACCGTGACAACAATCATGCTTTAATTGTATAGGGAAATGTTGATACAGATCTGTTGGTGTACTGTGAGAATAAACATGCTTTAATTATGTAGGGAAATGTTGATACAGACATGTTTATGTACCTTGACAACAATCATGATTTGATTATATAGGGAAATGTTGATACAGACATGTTTATGCACCTTGACAACAATCATGAGTTGATTATATAGGAAAATGTTGATACAGATCTGTTGGTGTACTGTGAGAAAAAACATGCTTTAATTATGTAGGGAAATGTTGATACAGACATGTTTATGTACCTTGACAACAATCATGATTTAATTATATAGGGAAATGTTGATACAGACAAGCTTATGTACCTTGACAACAATCATGATTTGATAATGTAGGGAAATGTTGATACAGATCTGTTGGTGTACTGTGAGAATAAACATGCTTTAATTATGTAGGGAAATGTTGATACAGACATGTTTATGTACCTTGACAACAATCATGCTTTAATTATGTAGGGAAATGTTGATACAGACATGTTTATGTACCTTGACAACAATCATGATTTGATTATATAGGGAAATGTTGATACAGACGTGTTTATGTACCTTGACAACAATCATGATTTGATTATGTAGGGAAATGTTGATACAGACGTGTTTATGTACTTGACAACAATCATGATTTGATTATGTAGGGAAATGTTGATACAGATCATCTTGTTTTATCTTTACTGTAAATACAGATGAAATATTGTTTAATGGAAAAACAGCTATCAATTAAAGAAGTTTGGAGACATGTTACAATGGTTTAACTAACTAATAGCAGATATAAAGTTTAACATGAACAACACAGTTTTACTCAATACGTATTATTTATGGTTTAGGTGGCAGAATGGGCAACTCGAGCATTTCTGTTGTATGGGGGAGAACCTTGTATATCGTTTCCTGTACCCACTAATCCTAGTTCCTTGATGATTCCTCCCAGCTCTCCTGCACCTACCTTTGGTCCATCAACTGTTCCAGGTATTTATCTTTAAAGGATCTTGTAGTTTAAGTTTTAAAATTTGTCAGGCTGCTGATACAGTATATAACTAGGGATTTCTAAAACAGTAGTAATAACTAGTTTAGTTTCTTCTAAATCCACAAAAATATGTGGACTATATTCTTTTATGGCTGGCTTAGAAAGAAGCTATTACCTTTTGTCACTATTTATAATTAGTCAAACATTCTGGCACTAGGTCACCATCCTGTTAATGTAATTTAATGTTGTTTTTTGGCAGTAAGCTACTGTCCTGTTAATGTAATTTAATGTTGTTTTTTGGCAGTAGGTCACCATCCTGTTAATGTAATTTAATGTTGTTTTTTGGCAGTAGGTCACCATCCTGTTAATGTAATTTAATGTTGTTTTTTGGCAGTAGGCTACTGTCCTGTTAATGTAATTTAATGTTGTTTTTTGGCAGTAGGCTACTGTCCTGTTAATGTAATTTAATGTTGTTTTCTGGACAGTAGGCTACTGTCCTGTTAATGTAATTTAATGTTGTTTTCTGACAGTAGGCTACTGTCCTGTTAATGTAATTTAATGTTGTTTTCTGACAGTAGGCCACTATACTGTTAAAGTTGTTTATGCTTGGTCAATCACTTCATCAGAAAGCTACCATCCTGTTAATGTAACTTAATGCTCTTTACAGCTTGGTCAAGCACCCCTGCAGTAGGTCACCATCCTGGTACAACTTTTTCTGTCCCTGGTTCAGGTAAGTTTATTCTCCAATGTTTTAACCCATAATGATAGTATATGATGGTTTCTTGCTGCTTGTAATGTTAAGGTGTGACCTCAGAACTTAAGTCATCCTGGTAAATTGTTTGTTACACAGTTAGTCAGAAATGATACAGTGGAGAAGGGCCATGAAGTTGATGATGGCTCTTTCCTGTTCCTGTTCAGAATTTATGTCAGTGAAGATGAAAAGCTTAATTATATTGAAAAGCAACTCTAATGAGAATGAATATTAACATGTAGAGAAATAGAGAGATAATGGTACTTTCTTTTTACATCATTCCTTTGATATAAATATCCAGTTTCTCTATAAGAGTTGTTTTTATATTTCAGAAAGTAATTTTAATTAATTTTGGAAATATTTGTAAAATTCTTCACATTTCATATCGTTGGTGAAAAGTTACAACATTAATATGTATAATGCACTAAAACTGATTGCTGTTATAATATGGTATGCAACCAGGTATTCCATACAGTCCAGTAGTCTCTCTAAACCAGACATATGGTCTTCCTTCACAAGAACAGCAGTCAATGTTAACACAACAACAGCTTCCAAGTGGTGGACCAGAAATGGTTTACTCCGGTAAACATAATGGTCTCTATCTTTATCTTTCAAGGATATTAAGGTAATGAACATCGGTAATAATAGTTTAAAGTAAGGAACAGCTGTAATAATAGTGTAAGGTAATGAACATCTTTAATAATGCTAACAGTAATAGTGTGTTACTGATGTATGTTATGAAAGTGTTGAACATTGCTAACAATAATAGTGTGTTACTGATGTACGTTACGAAAGTGTTGAACACTGCTAACAAGAATGTAGTGTGTTACTGATGTACGTTATGAAAGTGTTGAACACTGCTAACAAGAATGTAGTGTGTTACTGATGTACGTTATGAAAGTGTTGAACACTGCTAACAAGAATGTAGTGTGTTACTGATGTATGTTATGAAAGTGTTGAACCCTGCTAACAAGAATATAGTGTGTTACTGATGTACGTTATGAAAGTGTTGAACACTGCTAACAAGAATATAGTGTGTTACTGATGTACGTT